AGGAAAATTCCATTAAGTCATGGATTAATCAACTCCGGATACCTCACAATAAGTGGATGGTTTATCAAAATGAAAATGTTTTCACCTCAGCCACTGAGAACTTTCATGGAGAACATTAGCTGATTCCTTCTTGCAAGCTCTTCAGTTTAGAAGGAATGATGTACGCAGCACTGGGGTGATGCAAAGCATATCCACAATTTCTTAATAATCAATTTCAAAGGCGTCTTTGATATTTTACACTCTTCTCCTGCAGTGTGCCTTTCTTTGACATTATCCCTGCATTTTTAAAGTACCTCAGTCTTCATGTTTGAACCTTTGTAACAGATCCTTAAGTACAGGTACATTACCTAAAGGATGACCATTCAAAATGAATGATCTATATTCTGAAATCTCCCAGTTGTATTGCACACCATCAAAAACTTTCTGAATTGTCAAGGCAATTTTATGCATCAGAATTACTTCCTAAGGTTTATCCAACACAAGGAATGAATACTTTTGCAATCAGACATTTCTGTGTTTTTATTTAAAAGTTATATTTTCCAATATCTCACTATCTATGACTCACAGGTACTCCTGAGAGTATTGGAAGAAAAACATCAAACAAGATTTTATGGCAAAAAAAGACAGTTTAGTAACGATAGCCTGATGATTCCCTGCCATGATGTGTTCGACAAACCTGGGGGTGTCAAATTTGGGATTTTCAGCCCTTGTATGACATATCCACATTATGTATTTGAATCATCTAAAATGCTGTTCATTTAATCACACCCATAACCATTTTAAATTAAACATATGGTTGAAATAAACTGATAACATATGTAGGAGTGAGTAATAGCTTCTACAGAATTGTAAAACCTACTGTAAAATACCATGTGCTCTTACCAGGGCTTTGAGGCAAATGTACTTGAGGATCATTATTAATTTTAAAATGAATACTTGGGTGGCACAGTAGTTAGCACTGCCACTGTCAAATTTCATAAAGACTAGGTATAGATGTGAAGCTATGCCCTTACTGTTCGTATTTCTCTGTTATTAGTGGTACTAATATGTGTTTGTATTAGCTGCTCATGGAAGGACGGAAAGGGGTGTGAAATGTCAGTTCTAACTGATCCATCTTACAGATCTCACATTCAGGAAATACCTTACACCAAACTGAAACCAGGATCTGGCCAGAACTGAGACCAAAATAAAATTTGTAGCAATGTCATGTTATTTTTATGAAAATGTAGACTTTACGTATCTCCAGGAACCCCGAACAAATCTCTTTTGATGTTTTGCCTTTGCCACCTGAGTATGAGCACATGACCTCCGCTAACGGCAGACTGGCCTACGGGGTGATGCCTGGTTGCCACCCTGGGCTGACCGCTGCTCTGCTGGTGACTTTGCCCAACTGCTGTTTGGGAAAAGGTGGCTCTCTTTGTTTCTTAATGCTGACTTGGGGGTTAGGGTTGGGGGGGGGGTATGATCAAAACTGTTGAGGACCATTTTTTTTTTGGACCCCACAAGGGGACACTCAGTTTTATAAAAGTCTGTGGCTGCAATCAAAAACTACAAATGCCAAAAGTCTGGTTGAGTTAGTATGATTAAAGTTACAGCTAGGTAGGGGTTAAGGTTCTCATAACTGGGATTCGGGTTACGCTCATAGAAATGAATGGAGAGTCCTCACAAAGATATAGATACCTAATCTCTGTGTATGTGTCTGTGTGTATGTGTGTGTGCGTGCATGTGTCTGTTATGCTTGACTCTTCCTTGGTAGGGAACACAAACCATCTTAATGAAACTAGGCAGAACTGTTTTTGGTTTGCACAGGTGGCATTTGAACGCTAATTGGATAATTGGCAAAACAAATGTAACAATATTTGGGTGCAGTCCCAATACATGGACAATTGTACAATTCTGCCCAGGGAAAATTGTCACTTTCTCTCTGCTTAAAAAACACACGTCCGTGCAATTCAATTATTCAACAGCTCTCATTCCTCGCCACTGATCTTACCAGATAATAGGAGGGATCACGCCCCAGTGTGTCTGTTCGCTGCAGTTCAAAAGTTTTCAGGTGACACCAGAGTTTCAGTGGGCTCTGACCTTTGAAGTTGCCAGTCTTGAGAACTCTGCAAATATTTGAACCAGCACATTGCAAACAGTCTGACTCTGAAGAGCACCTCACCACTGTCCCGGCTTTCTTTGTCTAACTTCGCTCTGACTTAAAATAACGCGGAAAAGCTTTGCCCTCACAGCCACTGGCTTGATCACAATGGTGACAGTGGCCTGCTGAGAGATCGGCATGGTTGCTAAATTTTGTCATGTCTTCAAGAAACCTGCCGAAAAAGACACGGGCTTTTTGGGTCATATCTGACAAAGCCGCGGAATCCCCGAAATATAGCGTTACCTCAGTCGCACACTTTTTTGTATTTCAAATTAGGCATTTGATTTTAATCGAAATGAGAAAAGAACATACTAATGGACAAGAGTCCATGGAGATCTGGCTATACAATATCGGAGGGCAATGCTTGGAAAAGTTGGAGGGTGTGTACATATGTCAGGGCGAGATGGACAGAGATAAATGTATGGGCTGTTATTTTGTAGCACTTTGTCTTGTCAGTAAAACCATCAACAACCACCGGCAACATTTCCGATACAATCCCCCTTAACACCCACCTCAGCCCTCCAAATCCTAGACATCAAGCAAGCTCTTCCAATTTAATCTCCTTTCTGTGGACCACTTGAAATATTATCCCTGAAATGAGATATGTGACCCTGAATACGATGTGCCAGCAGCAGAAACAAAAATGGTCCGGGTTGTGTCTGCAGGCAAACGGTTAGGATCTGTCTGTCTAGGTCTGGGAAGGATGACAGGAAATGAGCGCAAATCACCTTAAAATAAAAGAACGTTCAGCTTTGGCGTTCTGGCCACCAAGAATTGAGAAGCGCAATCTAAGTCATTTTGAATGAAAGCATCAGCTAAAACCTAAACGTAAAAGTGTCTAGTGTTGCTTTTGTAAATTCTTTTTCTTGTTAATCCTAAAGGGTACTTGCAAAAACTACTGTAGGCAGTAATGTATTCATTATCTATGGAGGATGATGAACTTGACAAGCTCAGTTCTATGACCTGGCTCAAAATCACATGAGATTTAGTGCCACCAAGCTGCACGAATGCATTACTTCATGAACAATGGCGAACTAACTCCGTACGGCAAAAGTGAAAGGCGAAAGCATCTCAATTGCCGTCATCATTTTTATAGTAGGCTTATCTGTATCTCGAGCCCTGTCAAAATAAAATGCTATCCTCAGCCTCTTGCTCTTATCTAATCAGCCTCCGTTTAGGTGACTTCCCAGGGTATCTGATATTGGATGAAACTTAAGAGAGTCTCTTGTGACTTATGTCATTTATGGCTGTGAAGGAGGTTTTGTCACAGATTGGTGCACTGAGCTTACACATCAAAAAATCTCCAGTCCAGGAGAGTTGGGCTCACTCTTTTTTCCCTGATGCTTTGCTCATATTTTCATCTACCTCCTCAGGCAAAATGTTAGCGATAGTCTGCTCCCTCTATCCCTCCATTCCAACAAGCAGGTGCCCAACATCAAGCCTGACCGGTCTCTCTCAGTGTTGCATATAAGGTTGTCAGTAAAAGCTTCATTGACACGCAGATCGTGGTGCTGTCACCTTGAGGCGCATGCCGAAAGGCTAATGACAAATACCGTACTACGGATGGAGCCTGGGTGGCGATTTCCAGAGGGCTGCACTGGGAATGGGGTGAGACGGAGATCACAGGGGCGGCAGGAACGGGGGAGCATGGCCTCTGGTTGTCCTCCCACATGCCGCCTCGCAGCCCTCGTCACTTCGCATCAAGTCTGCAGTCCCTCGGTAAAAATAGGAGCGCAGACCCTCAGTGGCACCACAAAGCAGGGACTGACACTTCAGGCCAGCTCCGAGCCCCATCGCCTGCGAGAAGACTCAGATATAGCAGGCAGCATCCGACCGAGACACATGTGTGTATCCACAGGCAAGACGTGCCGCATTCAGAGAATAAAAACACCTAACCAAAAAGACACTTAAAACGCAAAATGCATAATGCACATATCAAGAAATTATTAAACGTATGCATCCTTCTGGATTTCTCATCCAGTGCATCCTTTAAGGGCTATAACTTTCTGTAACTGACCTGTTTGTCTCTCTGCTTCTTCATCACATTCCTGTAAATCTATAAAGCTTGGGGTTTAAGATCACTCACAGTCCATCCTTATCCCAGTCTTTATTTGGTGATAGATTTTTATTCTGAAATATATGTGTCCTGTTTATGGAACACGTAGGTTAGCCTCCTAGTGCTCTGATCACAAGTAGGTCCACCATTTACCCCCTGGGCTCCACTATCGTCATCTCACCTATAAATTTTCACTGGCTTAAACCAAGAACACCCAACTTAATATTCAAGATCTGGGTGAAAACAGGATTGAAGGGAGAGCAAATTAACCACTGGAGAAATATTACTCTGTTGAACTGCAGTCTTTAGTAACCAGGAGACACCATAATGAGGTGAATGTCACAACACACACACACATCAAGGGGGCAGGTGGGTGAGGCAACAATTACAATTTCAAAAGAAAAAGAATTTCAGTCTATTAATACAGCACATCTGTATAGATGCCCAGAATATGTGAATATCACATAATCCATGTCAATACGAGATACTACACATATACCACAAAAAGCTCACTCGTGAAATTACACAGAATAACAGTTTTACAGTGAAAATGGTATTAATACACTACAAGTACATACTATAAGTACATACTATAAGTGTGTCCTAATTTGATGCCCATAAATGACAAGCAAGTCATTTAAGTGGAATGGGACAATGTTAGGGGATAGACTGGGAGCCTTTACACAATGTGATTATATCAGATTCATTAGAAAGGGATTTGCCTAAACAGCGATCAGATGGGCTGATGCTATGACTCATTTTCTCATAGATTAGTGGAATAATTGACTCTACAAAGGGTGATGATTGATAAGTGGGGAGCAGCTTTAATATAAAGCAATAAGCACAAACTCATGCTGATCTTTATCAGTGAATTTGTATCAAAGCATCGCATCAACAATCAAGCGGCACTGCTAGAGCAAATGTGTGCAGGTGCTCTTTTACATATTCATAGCCAAACGCTTGTGCTTAATGAAACTGAAGGATCATGTGACTTTAATCCCTACACCGTTATTTAAGCAAGGCAGTAAACAACAGTAATGTACAAAGGAACAAAGCTGAAGACTGAATGTCAAAGCGTAGTCTCACTTCTGATTTCCTTTGATGTGCATTTTGGTTTTGTAGGTCCACAGCAAACTGCATCAGTAGAGTTCAAAAAGTGAAATTGTGCAAAGAAACTATGAGCTTGTATAATAGATGGTACACTAGACAGGCAGAAAAAAGACACCTGAAAAGCAAATTCTATTTGATGCTGGATATTATACTATTGTCTGTGAATGTAATTTTGCATCCTGTGTTTTTATCTGTAAATTGCAATAGAAATTAAAACATTTTGTGATATAAAATCTATCTATCTACGTTTCCCTTCAGAGGGACCTTTTAGATTAAACCAGTAATCCTGATAATGTTCAGCCCCCAGATTTAGGACATTGTCCAAGTAGCCAATTACAACTAGACTGCACTACATCGAAAAAGAAATATATTAGTTTCGTTAACACACGGCAGATTTTTGTGAGAACAGAAATCAAATCAGTAAATGAAAATAAAATGTGTCTCCTTTAATGTACCTTCTAACATTAGCAATATCAAGATGTGAGGTTTTAAAGTATTAAATATTTATTCCAACACTGGCAAAAAAAAATCATAACCTAGAAGGTCTCCCGGTCATTGAAAGAAACTGAAGATAGTAATTCTCTACCATTTTCTAACTGAAATTTTATATAATTATTGTGTTTATGGAGCAGTCAACACATGTCCAAATAGGATATTATTTTATTAAACAACTTATTCTCTTCTATTCTAGCCAACTGCAGTTTTCCAACCACATGAAGCCATGCAAAGAAATAAAGGTTTGTGATACTCCCATCTAGTGGTGAATATTTGTTTTACTCCCAAACACAAAATTGGTGAGATAGACTTTCAGTGTGCTGTTGTAGTGTTTCACTGGCAACGAAAGAAATATTGTATGCACATATACATCCTCGTAAATTCAGTAGCTTATGTAAGATACCAAACAACTCACATAATATATTTACATTTGTGAAGCACAGCCCAAATCATTAAATAACTTGAGAAATGAAACAATAAACAGTAAGTTTTGACAATTTGTCAGTTATTAGCATCTGACAAGTTATCATCCCATATAGTGTTAAAATAATGATTAAAAATAGTCCATCAAAAATAGAAAATCTAACCATTACATTTATTACAAACTATATTAAAAGGTGCATTTCAGTGCATTTTGCACAATTAAGTATACTCCACTGTACTGCAATGTGAAGAAACAATGATTTCATGCTATGATATCAGTAGCTTCATGGTATACAGAAGTAAGCCGCCCAGCCCAACAGCAACAGCAATAACCAGGCCTCTCACCACTAGGAATTCCATAGAGTCCTCTAGTTTGGTGTGCAATTTGAGGACCTGCCTATGGGTGTCCTCACGACTGCCTGAGTTCTCGATGACGTGGTTAGCCAGTCCGCGCTTCTCATTCAGGGGCATCTGGGCGGCGATGCGCTGCTGCGCCTCCTCCTGGCTCAGGCTGTCCCTATGCATGAGGCGTGACAGCTGAGTGGCAGGGTCGCTGAAATAACAGCAGTGGGCTATGAGTACACGTGAATCCTATATCTTGTGGGGGGGAAAGGTTACAGAAGAAAAAAAAAAATCCAAAAACCAAGGGCATAGGTTTGGTTTCAACATGGGTAGGGACCAGAGTTTGGTAATTCAGGTCCAAATAGTACAAATCCAGACCAACCACTTGAGCATAAAGAGTCACAGTCACAGAGCAACTGGTTGGTTGAAACAAAATCCTGGTCTAGACTTTTACTCTGTGGACCTAAATTACCCAACTCTGGAAGGGACCAAATCGGGCCCAAACACCTCACCCCCCTAAATACACATGGTGGTTCCACAATACTGTAGGACAAGTCCCAACCATCCATACCCAAACCTATCCCTTTGCTAAAGACAGAAACCCAATACTGATGCTAAATTTCCCTATTCCTTCCAGCTGTGGTGCACATAATAAGCAGCATGTTCTAATATGTCACAATACGTCACAGCTAAACTGTAAACAGCTCAGGTTTATGCCTTTTTTCCAATCAGTTCTTACTTGAGCTGTACAGAATCTATCTGTCCAATTATGTGTCCACACACGTTTACAAATCATGCAGACGCCATGCAGCACGACACCAGCGTCTACACCGCAAACAGGGAGTCAGACTCTTACCAGTACACCACGACCGTGTGGTTAAGGAAGCGTGCGAGACGGCGAGTCTCAAACAGCAGTGGCACGTCCAGGACGATATAGCGGTACCCTGGGGGAGAGTGAGGAGGCCATGGATGTCAGCACTGCTGCTTCCAGAGGCATTAAAACAATGCTGGGGAAGCACTGAGGGTAACCGTCACCTCTGAAGAAGTAGAACAAAATGCGCTTCAGCATGGCCTTGTGGATCTCTGGGTGTGTGATGGAGTTGAGGATGCGTCGCTTCTCCACACTAGAGAAGACGATCTGGGCCAGCTTCTGCCGGTCGATCTCGCCGTCGGGGAGCAAGATCTCCGGGCCGAAATGCAGCACGATCCTGCGGTAGGCCGGGCTGTTGGGCTGCACCACTGATGGACGGCAGAGCGGAGAAGGTCAGGCGAACGCCACGCCGGTCAGTCCACGCCGAACCGCTCCGAGGTCAACCGCCGGCTCACCTTGTCGGGCCACCACGTCGGCGTCGATGATGGGACAGCCAAGGTCACGCAGTGTCGAGGACACCGTGCTCTTCCCCGAAGCTATTCCGCCCGTCAGCCCCACCAGAAACATCCTGCGAGCGCATACACATTCACACACACTGCGTCCTCATGATGCCATCAGAGACGCCTGGAACATAATGTTATGCTACCTGACTCGCCTATTTCTCCGTCAGCTAAAGTTACTTGCAGGTGTGGTCTAAAGTTTCTGGTAGAGCTCTCTGGGACAGTGGGGAGGGGGTGCATATCGCTTTTACATATGGTCACTGTTCTTCCAAAATAGTGTCATATTATATTTTCGCAATAATTTTCATTTATGAGTAGATAGGAAGGAGAAAATAAAAAATAAAAAAAGCTATTGAACACCAAGACATTGGCTTTGCCAAACCAATTGGACAGGGTCACTGGTCACTACATATCCATTCTTTTTCTGTAAATAAGTACAGGGTTTTGGTGGGCCTGAGGTCTATAGCTTACCAGAAAGTACAAGGTACAAGGCAGAAGACCCCCCTTGTATGGGTTGACAGACCACCATAGGTACTGATCTTTATAAATAGACTTTCCAAACATTTGGATATTGTGTGTAACAGTCAGAATATCTCAGGAATAAATTATCACGAAACTGCTTTACAAATTTAAGTATTATTGAAAATGGCAGGCGTGCGTTTTAGTGGGGCAGAACACAGAAATCATAATGTCTGCTATCGGTATAATTTGCAGACTGGGCGGGAGGACCCTCGTTACATTTTGCGTGATCGCTGGGGATCGAAAAAGGGCAGTTTCAATCGTTTGGGCAATGGGGGCAGGTACTGAGACACCACCCCCCCCAACCACCACCCCACCTACCGCCTGCACGTCCCTGCTGCACAGATTGTTTCATTCCTCATGATGTGTTACAACTCTCGGAAAAAATATGATCAAAGTAAGCCTAATATACTAATAAGTTAAATGGTTTCCCCGAATCATCGGAATATTACTTATACTTCATTAATGCAAGATAAGAGTGGCACGCGTGAGGGGCGGGGCGCCTTACAAAGTATACATGTTACATAAAAATGTTCTACTTACACACATTTAAAGTAATGCAAAACGTGAAAAAAGAGAAATTTCACGCACACCCTATGAGGTCCTTGCTTGCTATCCAGGCTTTTCCGATTTGTCTCTCTTTACTGAAACCCACGTAAGTCTTCCTCCCATAATGCCGCATTAGCCAACGGATCCCTCGATCCCCCGAAACGTGAGGCTGCGTTTAGTGGAAGTGGAAGCGAGTGTCAAGCTATATGAAGCATATATGTCGGTGCTGTACTTTAAAATCAGCACAGAGCACCTGGTTTCTCCCAAGGTTATGGGGCTGAAGGCTCGGCTGTGCAGTTTTTTAGTTTAGGCACTGACAAGATAAGTCTGGTCCGTGGTATCCGACCCAGAGCTGAATGGAACTATTCATTTACTACGGATTTGTAATAATAACTGGCTCCATAATTCAACAGGTTTAACTGGGGTATTTAGCTATCTAATAGATGTTGAAGTATCAAACCACCATCAAAATCACCCCCTAAATACGTATATTTGAGATCATATTCTGGACTGCATTCAATTGCATTTATTGATAAACTGTTTGCATTCTATATTATTATTTTATTTACATACCTAGGCACCTCGTACTTACTTTCATATGATCCACTTCTTCCCTGCGAAAACTGCGTTTAGTTTCACCGGAAGTCGCTCTGGCAGTCACTGCTGACACCTTTCCCGTCACGGAGCCAACATGGCGGCGTCCGCTGAGGACAGCTTCTCGTCATGGAGCCAACATGGCGGCGTCCGATGCTGTCAGCGCTAGAATCAGTCCACTTGGCGAGCACTAAAAGATGGCTTTCGATATTACTTGTGACAGTATATTATTACACCATAATGATGAAAGGAACATTGTTTTAAGGTGCACACATGAGTCTACGGCGTACCGCAGGTTGCCAACTGTCACGCATCTGGCGTGACAATCACGCTTTCTGACTCACGCACGCGAAGGAAGTCTTACGGGCAATGTATATTTCATTGTAAGCCTAAAATTCGCTACACCAAAAACGCTGGGGTACTTTGCAAACCCTACAGACTATTGACAAGGTAATTAAACTGTTTCATAAATGTAAATGCGTTTGCATGTGTGTGCAGACTTGTCTCGAATTAAAAAATCTCACGCCAGCCACCTGATCAACGTTGGCAACACTGGTACTTGTGACAACTATTTGCCAAATACAGTTTGACATGTCAGTTTCAAAGTACGGATTCCATTGGATGTTTCGACTGGCTTTAAGTAAGTTCATCTGCAAACTGGTTGGTGATGCAGGGTATTTCATCTCAATTGATATCAAAAGTCTTCAACTGACTTTAAATGGAATTTCCACTGTGGCTCATTTGTCTTGGTTTAAATGACGGCTAACACTATAAATAATTCCAGCTGCCGCGCAATTCGGTTGCTAGAAACGGTTGTAATTTTATAAAATTCGTTATCTTTGACATTTATTTAAAAAAAGGCAGATGCTGCCATTTCTGCTTGCCATGGTTTGCATCAGTCATTATTATTATTATTATTATTATTATTATTAAACTGATAGTGTTAATGAATGCCTTAGCAAGACCCATGAATTCCAGGGTAAAGTTCTAGGTTTTTCTGGTGTTCTCCTGTGCAAAGTCCTATGTTAATACCTCTTAACCATCTGCAGTTCTCTGTAATTTCACTTAAACGTAGAGGCTAATCACACCATTTCCTTTCAGTAACAATATTTGTAATGATGATGATGATGATAATAAAATAGTCATTCACAAAGTTCAGCTATATAGTGAAAAAGATAACAGTGCATTTACCTGGCAGGAGTTTTTCTTTTCCATAAGAGCTCAAAGATTCATTTTACAGTTGCGTTAAACCAAAGTGTTGGTAATACCGATTGGGAAAACGATTAGGCAGCTAAGTTGCTGGTTTAATTCAATCAAACTTAACAGCTCTGTTGAACTGAAAATCAAACACAAGTAGAGTTCATGGACCAGGAAGCAATCAAATAGGTTCAATAATTTATGTTAGCTTAATGATTAAATGTAAACACTGGGTATTGTAAATGTTAACTTATAATTGTGAAAATAGAAGCATGACCTTTACTGTACAACACAGCAGTTATACAATTTTGTGTTATGCAATGTGACAAGTGTAACTTTTTCCATTTAAAGACAACCAATCCAAGTTATTGTACTTTTCCTGCAAGATTTTACACATTTGAATAGGTTTTGTTCTTTAAAAACACTTCTCACACGTAGTGTTCCAGCACAAAGATTTGTTCACACAGTCAAAGCAGGTAAACATATACATTTTCTGCATTAAAACTAAAAATTACAAATGTGTCCTCGAAACAGGACTAAAGGTCAATATGTGGTTTGCATCATCCTAGGCAGTCAAAGGTCAGACATATTGGCTGCGTTGGACTGACCAGAGGAAGTGTCCTGGAGTTTTGTCTTTTTACCCCTGTGCACAAACTCTTCCCCATCCTCATCCATGTCACGTTCAAGCCTCCCTCTTTTGACAAAGTGCTCTATCCTGGACTCCAAGCTTTCACAGCATGGTCTCTCCAGAAGGGGGCGATAACTGCGCTGCTTGGATCCTTCCATGAGAAGCCAGGTCGGAGATGAATTTGCTGTAAGAACTGAAATAACAGAAGATAGTGCTCAGACCCATAGCCAGATATTAAATGAAAGGTCCAACAAATTGAAGGAGGTTCAAACCCATAATGTTATTGCATGGCTATGTCCCTGATAGTGTTCCACTCTATACAGTAACATTTCAAACTAGCTTCTGGATTCAGGGGACTCCCTCAACCATCTGGCAGCAACATCAAGACAAGAAATTTTACTGATCCCAGGAGGAAATTCTTCTGCATACAGCAGCAAGGTATGTGAAGTGTACACAAAGTGCAGACAGTATGGGCAAATTCAGGAATCAGCAGACATGTTTAAGATCCTCCATGAACAACCTGCTCACATACCTGCACTCTGGAGGCCCTGGATCATGCCCCGTATGACGTGGGTCTTTACAGCCATCTGGGTCCAATGCTGCTGCAGCGTGTTGAGAATGTGGCTCATTTCATCAGGATCTCTTTGCCAGTTCAGCCCCTCAAACTGGCAGTCATACAACACCAGCGGGAAGTCCACAGCCATGCTGGCAAAGTAAAATTAACCTCCCTTAAAGAAGCACACAGATGAATGGGCACATCCCTCTTATCATTAAGACATGCAGCACTTAGACTTCATCTTCAAATGGAGATTCCAAAGACATCCCAAAACACAATCAGCTTAACAATACAGAACAGCTATATACCTGTTCCGGATATGCCATGTTGAACCCACCTGTACTGGGGTTTCCTGGGATGTTTGTCAACATCCAATAGTTGGTCGATCACTTCAGGTGTCTCTAGCTTTTGTCCAATCAGAAGCAGGACAGCCATCATACACCGTACCTGCGAAACCACACAGTATACCAGAGTCATCACATTTTTTCATATTTGAAGGAGCGGATTGTGTCATGTGCCTGGTTGACAATGTGTTTCCAAGCAACACCTACCAACCTGGTGATACAGGAAGGCTAGCCCTTTGACCTCAAAAAAGAGGATGTCATACGGGTCACTGGGAACTGCTTCAGAGGGCTGAGCTGGCTGGATTGAGGCTGACAAGATGGTCCTTTGGAACTGGAGGACCCCGTTACCTACATCCATTTTGCAAAGGTTGCGAAAGTCATGGGTACCTTCATACCTGTAGTGAAATGCAGGACACAATATAATTACAGGTCTTTCAATGACCAGTATCATTTCCCTGCTATCAAAAGTTTAAAAGCCGGATAAAACGACTCTATTCACTGTGACAATCTCTGATCTGCTTCACAGTTTATTAATCTTATTCAACACAGTGTGGGTGTGTGTAACGGACACAGCTTTACCGTTTCGCCGCTTTGGCCATGAGCTCCACGTCCAGATCACCACGCGGAAAGTAGTACCGGTAGGTTCTGAACTGACAGTCGAAGCGTGCACTGAAGCCCGTCTCCGCCGCCGCCCAGTCCAGCACTCTGATGTCTGGGGGCAGAACTCTGTTTAGCATCTTTACATAGGGCAGCTCTGCGGTACTGGGCTTCTGTTTGCTGCTGGGCTGGGCAGGAAGGATCACCCCCATGCCCCCACAAATCTGCGTGGAGCGCAAGTCGATTGTAATAACCTGAAAAAAAAATAAAGGGCTCTTGAGGGGATCATGAACAAAGACATGTCTAATGAGAAAGGGAATGGAAATTAAATCAAAATGAAGTTTCAGCACCAGAGTAGGTCTTCCTACAGGACACATGAATATAGATTAGCCTTTTAACCTGGCTGCCAAAGATGGTACACATACAAAGTAGGAAAGGTGGAATTTTTCCATATAGGACTTTTATTTTCACATACATTACAGGTCTTCCTAACTGAACTCAAATGATACCACTCCAAGTTTCAGTATTTGTGAATGTGCCACAAAAGTTACCCTGGACAGTATACTACGCGGTTAAAATCACTAACTAATATGAAAAGGTGAAAATATGCATTGCCAATTGATATGAGTAGGACCCTTGTGGCCAGAGAAATCGTAATTACCTGACCACAGGAATGATGCAGGAGGAGTGCACTTTTAGGACAAGTTTGGTGTTTCATATGCAAAGTTCAAAGACACAAGATATGAAGCAGAAATCGAGAGACAGACCTGTGTGAAAGCACTGACTCCCTTATCCGTGCGACCACAGCGGTGATAGTTGGAGTTCTGTCGGTCTTGAATCAACCGGGTCTTGAGCAGAGCCTCAAACAGCCTAGCCTCCACAGTGTTGTCTGTGTTCTCCTGCACAGCAAAGCCTTGGTAGTCCCAGCCAAGGTAGGCCAACCGCAGGGCCACATGGCGACGGGGATGCACAGAGAAATCAAATTCCCGAGCCTGGCTAGCTTTCTTCCCCTTTCTCTTGCCTTCCTGGCCGCAGATATTCTTTCCTCCATGTCCCGATTCTGCTGCTGCCTCAGTCTCAGCCTTGGGATCAGTCTCCTGTCTTAGCTGTGTCTTTAAGCTTTTGACTTCTTCTTCCAGGTCCCTTATTTGCTGCAGTAAAGCATCCGTCATGTTTGGACTATAAAGGGATTGTTAATTATGCGCACATTAATAGCACAGCACGTGCAAATCCAGTCATGCGGTGTCAGGAAACCTACATGCAATAACAGCGGGACAGACAAGGAGTATTTATAAACCCACTAGACTGAATAAAGTCAATAGTAAACAATAAAAAAGTAAAATAAATAAATAAAGAAAAAGTTATGATAAATCAAATGACCGACGCCTGAACACCGTCGCTAAAACGAAGTAGGCAAAGCCTTTCAGAACAGAAACAGATGACTGAGGAAATCCTTCTCTAAGCATTTTCCTCCTATCTAGTGTAATGAAATATCTGTAGATTTTAAACATACTACAAGAAAGGTACCTAACAATGTTTGGCCACCAAAACTGAAATTACAATAATGAAAAAAACTTACAAGGAGGCTTTGAAACTCTTTGCTTCCACTTACCCTTCTACGTTCTTGCTCCCTAGCCGTATATGCCATTAACAAATAAAATAAACTCTATATAAAACAATATTTACTCACCTTATAATTTAACGTGCGATTTGCTTTCACGTGAACTCGCGTTATTCCCGGAAGTTAATTGCTTCCGTCATTCCAAGTATTTATGGGATTTGTAGTTTTGTAGTTGCAGTACGTAAACCTCTAACCATATCTCAGTGTTGGATTCTTGATGTTTGGCCTCAAGGTGTCAGTGTCTTCCACAGTATTAGCTATGTAAAGGCCCTACACATACGCCAATCAGTCATAGCATTAAAACATTAAAACTGAACATCAATTATCTTTTTACAATGGCACCTGTCAAAGATGGAAAGGGTATATTTTGCAAATGAGTCAAGTGCTGCCTCTATCTCAGCAATATATCTATTTATAGTATAATAGTAGAAGCTTAGGTGATATGGCAGAGACAAATGTAAATCCATTCTTCCATGTATGCTCCATTTCCAGACTATCCCAGTAAGCGCAAGGCTCAAGGACAAGAAGTGTAATCGCCTAAAAAGTGGTTAGTGTAGAAGGATGTGAATGTAATCTTACAGATGCCACTTTTCTCAAACGTAATATATCTGGGTACTGATTCTGTCCAAATAATTTTTCCAAGAAAAAAATTAAACGATTACATACTTTAAAACATCAAGTAATTTAAGTAATTTTTAAAATCTGATAAAAATGCATCTTATGCAACAAAGGTGTACAATGCCTATGAAGTGTATTTCAAGTCATTATATGTATAATTTTTCTCAGTTTTGGTATATTTATGGGTTTTGTAGACATGTTATATTTAAAGGTTTGCTTGGGTATTCTGTGTACTGTAAGGAAGCAGGTAGAATAGCGGATACAAATAGATATGTAACTGGAATATTCATGGGTTGCTATCTATGAATGGCAGGAATACAAATAGTTAATCAATGCAGCATAAGTGCTTCCGAATTTTCGGGATTATTTCTCTGAAACGAGACTGGAAGGGCACTTTGTATACTGACAAATATTTCTTACTTCTTTGAAAAATGCCATAGGAGACTTGAAGCTTTGAGATGACCCAGCACCGCAACCTTATCATTTGTCCTTTGTACCTCATCACCGAAACTTTACTATGGTGGAAGATAAATTCACTGTGACGAGATATGATTCTGCAGTCTTATCTTCTACATTTTATTGATGTTTTCATCCAAAGTGAGACACCAGGCTCAGACTATCCCTGGAACTGGGGTTTAAGGGCCTTGTTCAAGGGCCCAAGAGTGTGATCGCCTAGCTGACCAAGGGACTTCAACCAGCAGCTTTGAAAACCCATCCACCGCCAGTATGACAAAAAATAAACATCTCCAATAGTTTACACTATCCAGCTCTTCTGCCACTTGCTCATAAAAAAAGAGGTTGTGTTTATAGTGTTCAAAGCTGGAATACAGGCCTGGAGGAAGAAATCTGATAATGCTTGTTCCTCAAGCATGTTTAACAAGGAACAAGAATACACAAAGCCCATCCAGTAATTATTAAGTATTTTTGGCCCAGACATGTTCGCCATAGGCAAAGAAGGTCAGGCCTGCATATTGCATAACCACAAATTCATCAAGATCACCAAACATCAAATCACAAATTAAACATCAATCTCACAACACTGGAATGTTGTTTGAACAGGTTAAATACAATATTGTCTGAAGAAAATGAAGGACTGATTTGAGTTTCACCATGGCAAAAATAAAGAATACATTTTGTAACATTGTTAACAACAGATAATGTGACCTATTAAAACTACAATCCTAAACATTGTGTGAACATTGACATATATTGGTGGTTAACTAGCTTTGATGACCAATTTACAGAAAATGTTTAGCTTCCTCAAAATTGAACATTTGTAAACAAACTTCATTGTGTATAAAGCAGTCAGGTTTCACTATGGCACAAAATAAGTTTACTTGCATTTAAAAAATTTATTTACAATGTGAAACATGTATAGAAAGTATATTTTTGGCAAATGTGATGTAAACAAAGGTTAAAATAATAACAATGTTACTGTTTTGTTACTACTACTAACATATCCCATAACTAAGACTATGCACTGGGGTGGCCTAATGGGTGATTCAGCATTCATGTAAAGCACTTTTCCATTGCATAAGGAGCATACATTTTGGACCCCATGAAAGCATATTATATTGGACCCCCAACCCAGACCATTTCAATTATGTTTGGAATGTCTTAGGGCCCCTGTCACTCTGGGGCACTTGGAATCGTCCTACCCCCCCGAATCCCATCCCTTTACGGCGCCCCAGCTACGTGGGTACTGTCTCAGGGCACAGGGACAGCTGACTTTCTCCTGAGTCTATTCCAAGCAGATAAATCAACTTTTACCTGGAAACCGACCAGGAACAGCAGTAAGAGATTTTCCCTTTAATGAAAAACAAGTAAATATCGATTTCGTTCCAGTTGGCTTCTTAATTATGTAGTTTGCAGTGTACAGAAAAATACATATGCCTTAATAAGAAGACGCACACATAGCTGCTTCCAAATAACCATTCGGTTAAATATAATTTAAAAAGTGAATCTCGAATAATAAAAATTCAAACAAAGGTAAACCACGTTTTAGGGTTTGAGAGCTACCCAAGTATAATCTGACACATTATACTACTTGAATAAATTCTGAAGTACATTCATTTGCAGAATCATATCTAATTGCCCCAATTATAAAACAGAAGTGTTGGTCGAATGCAATTAACTTGGGTTTGGGTCCCAACGCAAAAACAAGATGGAGCCTCTTTTCGTACAGGTGAGTTTATACACTGTGTTTCTGGGATTAAGCGATATAGGTGAACGCGGCATTAAAATGTTTTTATAAACCGGAAATAACTTGTGAACTGATGTTTTAATACAAGTATAAACGTTATCTTTTCAAATACTTTGATCCAGTGCTTAATTTAAAAGTGGATTGTACGTGGGTTAATTCAGCGAATAATTCATAATTTAGCAGAAACGTTAAATCTGCCACCAGTTGGACGAGTAATGAGGATACGTCTTCACATAGGATACCAATATGCCGGTGTTATTTCTAATTATCTGATCATTTGTGAATTGTGCTACTTCATATATATGCGTAATAAGTCTTATTTTCTCAGCATTTAATATTATACGTACCTTCAATTAAACGCTTGCATTCTTTTCAATACTCAATGTATGATGGTTAATTTTATACCCATGAACCAAAAATAATCGCTTTATCTTAAAATTTGATCCTTCAGGCGAGGAACTTGATTTGAAGTAACCGCGTTGCATTATTTCTGGCTGTTAATCAATCAATTTTACTTTGTACAGCGCATTTTCACAACATTACCTTGTCTCAAAGCGCTTAATTGCGTTGTCCCTGCCCAAAGCTGTGCGGGCTGTTTCAGTGTTTTCAGAGTAATTATCAGCATAATATATGGTCAGTGGTGGACAATGATTGCTTCTTCCTGTTAGAAATAACACTGCACTAGCGGTGTAGTGGAGTACATACCATGACTTTGCGTGAGGAACGTACAGTAGCATTTCCTGCTTTGCTCTAACCCTCTTTTTAAATTTCAGCCCCTGTTTAGAATGTCTTCCTGTTTTGTATTTTTAAACAGCTGTTTCTTCTGATAAGCTCTTGCGTTATGGCCTTTCCGGTATCCAAAGTGACTCAAAACCACTTAACTTAGCATGTAAGCTTTAACTTTTGAAGTGACTGTGAGCAAAATGCATATATCCCGAACTGATCCAGTAAAATATGTAGTTGTTTGAATGTCAGTTAAACGGCTAAAATTGGTAATTGTTAGAATTTGCTTATTCTAATGAGAGCACTGGTTATAGCCTAATGAAAATGACAGGCACGTCAGGGTCTGCTGATATGAGATCTGATTAGACCCCATATAAATGTCTAAATTCCCTGCTGTCCCTTAGGATATTTCTGGTGGCGAGACCTTCCAGGTGCCAGATCTGCAACCTGGGTGCGAAATTACTAGATTCAGAGTCTTCTGTTGGAAATTGTGTTGTAATTGCAATTGCTGAGCCTGAGAATACACATACTGTACAAAGAATCGCAAAAAAGTGGAGGGCCAAATTTAAAAAATTCATAATCAAAAAAGCTATTTGTAGCAGAGCTATAGGATTTTGCAAAGTTCCATAAATTTTAATGTAAGTTTTCACAGTTTTTTCTTCAAGGAAATCCATGGCATTAACTGGGAAGTCTAGATGGTCCTTCATTGCTGTAGGTGAAATTCCTAATTGCCTGATATATTCCCTTTAGAATGGTTCCTTAAGTTTCCACAGATGACAAGGTTATCTGTGTTCACTTTGTCTTTTGAAACCCTTGTCATATGTCCTTGTCATGTAACCCTGATATGGGCGCAGAGAATAGTGCTGTAATGTTCAGTTATGCTGTTTTTAACATGGAAGCTTGACCTTTGACTAAATTGCTAGTGTGAGCTCTGAATCTAGAACAAGTTACTTACTGTAGTTCAGGCCGCATAAGCTGCAGCGTTTGCTGGAATTTTATTTCCTCTGTATTTTTAATTAGATGTGGTTAATTGATTGAGCTTTGTCTGAAGGAATCTTCAAAAAATCTTCAAGGAAAATTAAGTTCAGCCAAATGTATTAAGTTCAACAAATCATTCAAGGCCTTCTGAAATGCAAACAAACCAAAACGTTATCAAACAAAAAAAAAATGCTTTTTGTTAAGGCAAAACATCTAAAAATGTGAAGCAATTAAGGTGTGTATTTGCAATTTTGGACAGATCTATCATAATCTTATTAAGCTTTTCTAATGTATTAATCTTAAATGTTGGACTAACAGCTATAAATGTAGTCTAGTACTAACTAATTATGATTTTAGCTGGATCTACAAATGGATATATCTGCAGTTTTTCCCATTGCAGCTCTGAGATGTGGCCTGGTGTTTTTCTTTTCTGTCCATCAAGTCTATGAGGCTTGTGATGATTGCTGGGTTTTTGGGGCCAAAATCACAAAAGCAGATTTTCTGGTATGCAAACAAGTCCTGACATGACGTCTTTCCATGCTCAAGCCAAATTCCTGCATACAATGAAAGAAATACGGGAAGATCTCACAGTTGGTGTTGCAGAATGTGGTTATACTACTCTTTCCTGTCAGGCTTGTTAAGACTTTTCTTGTAAATCTGCTGTGACTTTTATGAAAATTAGGGCAAAATTCTACAGCTGTGTTTCTCAACTGGTGAGATGAGACCCCCATAAACAAATTTTACAGTCTCCACTCACCCACCTGTCATGAATTTAGATTGTGTGGTTCTAAAGTAGCGGTTTGAAGTGGTTCAATACCAATTAATCTTAAATGTCGTGTTAATGAGAGTTCCTCTGATGTTGGAGTATAATTATCTTGTTTCATGGTGCATGGCTAGGTAGCTATGGCTTAGTAAAGGAAGGCAGCTAATTGCTAATTATAAAATATGTTTCTATTCAAGCTTTTATTGCGTGGGGGTTATCAGTGTGACCACTGCATTGTAAACTTTCCCGTGATGCTAATAGGAAAGGAAATGAAACTGTCACTTGAGCAAAGCTTTGGGCTTATTTTTCTCACCCCCCCCTCCCCCCACCTACTTGCTGAAAGTGTTGCATGGCTACAGCCTTGTACAGCAGAAGTGTCCTACCGTGCATCTAGAGAATGCAGGTATGGAGAGGCCGGCTTGTCGGTAAGACCCTGAGATTTTACCACACTGCTTATTTACTTGCCTTTCTTTTCTTCTGATAAATAACTGATAAACGTGCAGCGTCCTGTAAAAAGGCCAGCAGCAGCCTGTGGAGCAGATAGTGTGAAAAGGCTGTTAAGGGTGAACAGGGGCTGTGCAGAGTGGGAAGCGAATGGGCAATTGACAGAGCTGTAGACGGAGCAGAACTGCACAGTCGGGGGAAGGGGGCAGTAGGAAGCAGTTGTGTATGATAGCAGGGCTGGAAGTGCTCCATATTTTGCTGTGTCAAGAGGATTCGCCTCATTCCTACAGGCGAATATGAGCAGCGGCTGCAGTCTGAAGAAGACGTATGTGTCCACTTTCAAGATTGAGTTGAAGTTTTCGGGCAGGAACAAAGATGACAGCCCAGGGGAGGTGTTGAGGAACGGGTTACTTTCCAGGACGTCTGTCCCTGAAGGCAGGATGGAAAGGATGCATGAACCAGGTAATTAAATAGTTTGTTCATTTTGACACTACTACAGTACTGAGAGCACAATGTGGAACTATGGAAATATCTTTTTATTTCCTCTAGCTGGGTAGTACATAGTAAAACTTAAAAAAATATTAAGTCTTTTTTGTTCTGGTTAATTTTAGTGTGTATTTGAACTTTTTTCTCCAGAGTTTTTCAGAGGTTCAGTTGCAGATATGTGTCTGTATATTAACCAACATTCTAATTGCCCGATTTATGCATTGATTATAACAACTTGACATTCATTAAAATATTAGTTGTCCTTTGTGAATTTTGGTTGTGGATCATACAAGCACAGAAGTCTGCAACAGAAACTATTTTCAAGTTCTCTGAGGAAAAACACTCTTTTTGAGAAGCATGCAGGGGGGGGGGCAGCT